ATCGAGTGCAGCTTTTCCTGGTAAACGGTACCACTCGATTTTATATGATGCAAATCCAACTTTTATGCACTAAGTATTTAATTTAAATGTGTGCGTTAATTTATAATATATATTCATATATATATATACATACATACATACATGTTATCTGTATATACCTCACACGCAAAAATTTTTATTCTTAATAAATTTAGCTATTATTAATTGTTTTTATTAGAGATGTACATATACTGTTAATTTTGATGATATATATTCCAATGTTCAAATGTTTTAACATTTAATATAATTAATAAACTTAAGTATCTTCCCAAGTCAAAAACACAGTTGAGCTATACGAGATGTAATTATTATATAAAATGTATTGTTATCAATGGCATACAGAACGTTTTGATTACACTGAGTCCTCATCAGCCGTAAATAATCTATACAAGTTAAAACATGTAAATCGAATAAATTTAATTTAAGTTACGCCAACGCAGTATTAAAATTAAAAATAAAAATAAGTAAAATTTCAAAATTACGCCAACACATTATAGAATATAAATTTTCACAAATGTCTCAGCTTCATTTATAAAGTTGATGGACAATCAGGTGGTAGTGATATTGTAACAAAAAAACTAATAGGATAACCGATTTCTGTTAATAACAATAATTCAGAAATCAAAAATTGAATTAAAGATTTTTTTATGTTCAAAAAAAAATTTTTTTAATGTATAAGAATAATCTTAATGGCTACATGGAGTCAAACGGTGCTGTTAACGGTTCGCAATTTATACTCAAAAATATCTTAGATACAAAATTTCGAACTTTTCGGTCCCATTGTTTGGACCATCATCAGCGAATATAAAATATACAAAGGTGTTACTTAGTATTGGAGATCAAAATCCTACATATTCTGATCGTATTTTGAATTTTTGGTCTCAATACCCCATTTTACAGAAAATAGGCGTAATCTATGGATTAAATACTATGGATCTCCAATGGATAATAAATCTATGGATCTTCAATACTATTGTAAGTGACACCTTTGTATATTTTATATTCGCTGATTATGATCCAAACAATGGGACCGAAACGTTCGAAATTTTGTATCTAAGATATTTTTGTATATAAATTACGCACCGTTAACAACGTTTGATTCCTTGTAGCCATTAAGATTATTCTTATACATTATGTTTTTGGATTTTTGTTAATCCATTCTTTGTTTAGTCAGCGAGAAAGGATAAACCGTGTATATAAGAAAGTACTATTCCAATTAAACATAAATTGATGTCAAGTTGTATAAGTTAATGAAGCAATATTTGAGAATTATGACGTCCAGGTTGTATGTATAAAATGAGAAACTGTATAGAATTAATTAAAATATTGATTAAACTTGTTAAAACATTATAAAACAAATTAATGAAACTCAAAAAAATATAATAAAATAAAGATGAGACTGTGGTCGCTTTAAATAATACAATGTATATCGATTGATTTCTCATGCCGAGACAGATCTTGACTGTGCGGATGGTAACACGCAAATAATGTCGCTTAGATTCATAGATGTCAAACAGTCAGAGGAAGACTTTCAAACCTTGTTTCATTTATTATTATCGGAGATTAATTTTAATAAATAAACATACATTTCATCGAAAGATTCAGTGTTTTTCTTCATGTTTATGCCGTTTAACTGTTCTTTTATGTATAATGTTTCTGAAATAAGTCTCTTATTATAATTTGATTCTCAGTTCATGATTTTTATATTTTTCCAATCAAATGTGATTACATTGCAATGCATGATTCGTTACTACTGAATGTCTCGATGAATTGAGTTTCTTATTATTAATATGTTTATTTATCCGATTGTTAAGTTTCCTTGCATTGACGTAACTTAAATAAAATCTATTCCATTTATATATATTTTAATTTGTATGGGTTATATTTACGGCTGATGAGGACTCAGTGAAGTCAAAACGTTACGTATTACATTGATAATAATAAATTTTATATAATAATTACATCTTGTATAGCTCAATTGTGTTTTTGACCTGGGAAGATACTTAAGTTTATTATTGATATTTAGTTGAGCGAATCATAATTTAACATTAAATTTATTGATCATAATTTTAATTTATTTTATTGTTAAAAATGTAAGTATAAACACCTGATTTGTTAATTGTTCGGCAATGTAGCAAAGCGTGAAAACGTTGAAGACAAACGACATTAATAGAAAAAAATGTGTTAAAATTGCTGAACTGTCGTTGTCATTCCATTCCTAAGAGAATAAGGTAATATTGAATCATTAATTTTATTAAATTAAAAACATGTATTTACACTTTGATTTTTTATTTAAAAAATAGAAAATAATTTGTGTGATAAAATATGTCAAATATCCGTATATTTAGTGGCAAAAATTTGATATCCTAATGATAGTTGTGTCTGTGTGCATCATTTACTATATTTTAACTGTCATATTGCAATTATTTTTAAAATTTTGTACACCATACTACATATACGATGCAGTAATAGTTTTTTTACACGTTACCTTGATACAGTAATATTCCAGCACACATATAATGAACGTTGATCCCGCTATTTCAACCAGACATATTTCTTGTAAAATACTATTGATACTGACTGAAAATCTGCACAAAAAACTTTTGAATATAGATTTTATATACTTTATTTAAAAGATAAATGTCTTTTTCTACTTTTTGCAGAGAATTATGAAGTACAATTAACAAATTTCAAATGTAAATTATAACAATAAGTGACAGGTAATATGAGTCTACCGCTGGTTATTGTTTGCAAAAATCAATTTAATTCTCTTAAAGCACCTTGTACATTTCGACTCTTGTTTCGAGTCATCCTCAGCAATTACATGTAGTGAAATCAATAACTCTTGTTCCATAAAGAAGACAGCAACAATTGTGAGGTAAGCAACATACTCAATAGTTCGGTAGCTAATGGTGATTATAACTTAAGTTTACGTATTAATAACAGCTCATCAACAACACAAACAGTTAACAAAATTTAAATTTAATTATTAATTAAATTTAATTATTATTTGTGAAGTAAACAATTTTACATTTATAAAAATTCAAAATTTTTTTGTTTTTCCTTCGTCCGTTATTCTTTATTCATTTGTATTTCACATAGTTTTCAATCATATAATCGAATATTATTAACATAAACAATTTTTTCTACAATAATGTGCATGAAGCACTCACCTCAATGACTGCATATGGTGTTTCACTATAATTGCCATTTGTTGCTTTATGTGTTTATGATTACTTTGTGCATTTTTTAGAAAATTTTCTATGCGGGTCGTTACGATCTCGATTTGACCACAAGCGTGACCTACGAGCATGGCCGCCAAGCAACATACTGCTGTAGTGATGTTGTATACCGCGATACCACAAAAAAATTGTGCGCAAAATACAAATACGTAGGTTGGCGTAAAATGTAAGTCGAAAATAATATCAAATCCGGGGCAAGCCATTGGTTTAATTGTATTATTTTGCTCGTCGATTGTGGTGTGCCCCAGAAACGGCATTATGGTATAAAAACACAAGCCTCCGCTATACATCAATATTATACAAAACTTGCATAACACATTACTTTTTGTCGCGCTTTTAATCATAATTTTTCGATAATCCTGCTGCTGGACTGTACTCCAATCGATACTTAGCATGCGAATGCATTTCCGTATGCCCTTATAATGAATTACCAAGAAAAAATATTTCAACGTCGAGACTGACACGTAGCTTAGTGGGCCTAATATTTTCATTTTGTCGTTTTGAGTCGTTCGTTCTGACAGCATAGACATGACCATGGGAATTAGAATAAAACTGAACCCGGACCAGCATAACACGAATAATATCGTCGCTAATATCTTTTCGATCACTGTAGTATTTGAATATACCAACGGCCAGATTCCGAGAAGTCGTAGTATCCATCGATTCCATACTAGTGCGTTGATTATATCCCTCTCACTATTCACATTGGACCAGGAGATGTTAAGCTTGGCCATCTTATCGATTCGCGGGCGTGAGAACGACTGGTGCGCTTTGTGGATAGCGTGATGGTAAAAAGTTGCGCATGTCAATCACGGGTGCTTTCGATATGGTCTGGGTAATAGGGGAAGGGCTATGTAAGGAGACGTAACATGCGTAGTCGTAACGTAAGGTAAGGGCAGAGAACGAGACGTAACATGCGTAATCGTAACGTAAGGTAAGGCAGAGAAAAACGTAGCT